CTCCCCTCCTCACTGTCACCATGCTTAGGTATGGGACAGTCCTGCACCTGGGTAGGGTAAACCTAAGAAGCCTGTGCAACAGCAGACAGAGTGACTCGACTTCTTTGTTCTTGCTGTTCGAGCCTTGTGCCTTCATTTTGATAATTGGCTTCCACATGATGGTGAACAGGCTCAACTTGTTTCCTAGTTCCCCTGTCTTGATGATTTGCCTGATACCTAGTTCTAAAAGGTAGGGACCTGCCTAGCTCTAAAGGACTTATGGCCAGCCAGAATTGAAGTGAACAGCTGCTCCAAGAACTGCCTGCCATATGACATGGTACAGGAAGGGGCTGGTGTTCACTGCTGGAGACAAGAGAAAGTGGTCAGCAGAGAGGGAACAAGAGAAGAGAGAAAGGGGAGAGCAAAGAGAGGAGCCACATGGCACCAGGAACCTGTAGTTAGCTCTTCTGCCTCACGTGGTTTTGATGGCCTGAACACAACTTGATTGTACCCACCTGATTCATGAGGGAGACTCCCAGGACTTTGAGATAAAGCAGTGTCAGTGGGAAACAAACAGAAAGCTACACTAAGCATTCCTTTTCAGCTATTATTTTAAATATAGGGTGTGTACCTGTGAGGCAGCAAGAATACTCTTAATTACTCCCTTACAAAAAAGTCTAGTTCATTTCCACATCTTTGCTTCCTTTTTAACTTTGCCAAAATGCATACCCAAGCACGTTTTGGAGGAGCATGTCCTCAGTCTGGTCATAGTCTCTGTGACATCTTGGTCTATTGAATGGTGCCTCTAGAGTTGCGCTCACTGAGCCTCAGCAGCTGTATTTGGTAGCTCCAAATTTGATTCCAGGATTATTCCATCTGTATAAGAATTTTTTCTTGATTGAGTCCGTTTTCTATGTCTACTCAGAAAACATACAATATATCCTCAACCAGTTACCACAATCTTCATTAAAATTTGAATTTACCATGATCCCTTCCCTTCCCATCACTAACTAATCCTCCTGGCAGGATTTGCCTCCTAACTCGCACCATCACCTGGGCTGGAGTGTGGTGGCATGATCTTGGCTCGATGCAGCCTCCACCTCCCAGGTTCAAGTGATTCTCCCACCTCAGCCTCCCAAGTAGCTGGGACTACAGGTGTGCACCACCATGCCCAGCTAATTTTTTGTATTTTCAGTAGAGACAGATTTTCACCATGTTGGCCAGGCTGGTCTTGAACTCCTGACCTCAAGTGATTCACCCATCTTGGCCTCCCAAAGTGCTGGAATTACAGGCAGGGACCACTGGGCCTGGCCTAGGACTTAATTTTTTAACCTCTGCTGCTAGTAATCCATTGAGATCTAGGTATGCAAACATAATAATGGTAATAATGGGCAGCTAGAATTTACCAAGAACTTCCTATGTGGCAGGCACTGAGCTAAGGGCTTTACAGGCATTATTTTATTCTCACAATCTCTCAGTGTTATCATCTCTAGACTTCCATTTCTACAAATATGACAGTGTGGATATCCTGAAAATCCTCTTATTACAAAACATCTAGAACTGATTTATCAAGAACAAGCAGCAGACTTGTAAATACAAATCTGAGCTGGTGAGAAAGAGAAGGAATTTCCTGTGAGCAAAAACAACAGGAAGAAAGCTAAAGGAAAAGGGTCAGCAAGCCCTAATGACTTTGTCTGACCTACCATGTTGACTGATCCCAACCAGGGAGTCTGGGTTTTAACAGTCACTCAGAAAAACAAGACTAAGCCTTGCACCAACTCCAATTAGAAAGCTGAAACTTAAATGCCAACATAAATATATTGAAAAAAAAAGCAAGGCTGAAAAAAAGCACTGATCATTCATGTTGAAAAATTGGATAAAGAAAAGCAAATGAAATCCAATGAAGGTTGAGTGAAAGAAGTTATAAAGAACAGAAATTGGCCAGGCACGGTAGCTCACGCCTGTAATCCCAGCACTTTGGGAGGCCGAGGCAGGCAGATCAACTGAGATCAAGAGTTCCAGACCAGTCTGGCCAATGTGGTGAAACCCTGCCTCTACTAAAAATACAAAAAAATTAGCTGGGTGTAGTGGTGGACACCTGTAATCTCAGCTACTCGGGAGGCTGAAGCAGGAGAATCTCTTGAACCTGGGAGGCAGAGGTTGCAGTGAGCCGAGATCACACCATTACACTCCAGCCTGGTCGACAAGGGCAAAACTCCGTCTCAAAAAAAAAAAAAAAAAAAAAAAGGACAAAAAAGCAGAAATTAACAGAAAACAAAACACTTGCATCTAAAGCTAGAACCCTTGAAGAAGTACAACTTGAGTGGAAAGAGGGAACTAGAAAAAATTCCATCCACTGGCACAGGAAGACTGCAAAGAAACTTGCCTGTCTTGGCCTGGGTCCAGGCTGGAATTCAAAAGGTTCCTATGGAATTCATAAACACAGACCTCCCCTTGCCTAGGTTGGAGCAAGCAAACAACTATTGAATAAAGGAACATGAAAGAAGTCCCGGGTTGGCAAGGTCCCTACAAAAACCTGGAAAAAGCAAAGACAAAGCTCCAGAGACCCTCCACATAGGCCGTGCCCACTCACCCTCCAAGGAAGATGGCCCCTCAAGCCTGTTGAATCCGATTTCTCCTCCAGACCTCCGGATCCAAGTCCATACCCAACCTTTTCGGCCTCACTTCTCAAAGTATGGCGCTGGAACCAAGTGCATCAGCGTCACCTGGGAAATACGAATTTACTGACCCCCAGCTCAGACCCACTGAATCACGAACTCTGAGGGTGGAGCCCAGCAATCTGTGTTTTAACATGCTCCCCAGGTGATCATGATGCACACTCACATTTGATACACTTATACCCATTCTTCCTCCCGAGGAGTACCACGAGGACAAGCACATTCAATACATTTCAGTAATGTTGGAAACTACTGCTCTGGATTTTAATGATATCTTAGGCCTATCGAACCCTAAGAAATAAAAGTTTTAGAACACCAAGCAGGGTTTTTATTTTCAAAGCTTTGGAACTTATATGAGTCATTCTTTTTAGGTTTTATATAAAATAGTAAACCTTTAAACACATAGAATTTTAGCTAGAAAATGAAATTCTCTTACGTGATTATTTATAATCTACGCAATAATTAGCATTAGACTAAGATGCCAATTTTCTTCACATGAATAGAGAATCATTTACATAAATTATAATGCTAATAATCTATTTTCAGTCCAAAATTTGTGTGTGTGTGCTGCGTTTTCACTTGGGTAGAAAAAACCACTATGTCAAATAGAATAAGCATTTATTCTGTTGCTTTGAGTATGTGAATAGTTATTAAATTAGGATTATGTTGCTTGAGATACAAGTAAATCATCTAGTCACCTCTGATTCCTCACACTCTGATTGGTTAGTTCTTACTTACAGTTGTCCATAATACTTATTTCAACTTCATGTAGGTCTGAAATGCTCACAGATCTCATTAAAAATGAGAACTTTTATTTCATGGAGTCTATGACATCATGTTTTCTATTTCATACTGTTGTTTAATCAGAACATGTTGGTGGTGTTCCATAAATTTGCTTGTGTCATATTGTAGTGAAGATAAGAGGACTTGTTGCTTTAAGCAGGATCTTAGGATACTCTGGGATCCTCTGCATTGGTTCAGCTACTACAAACCGAGGTTTATTGGCTCGGTTCTGTGAACCTAGAACTTCGATGGATAACTTTTTTTTAAATGATCAGACCTTGGCACAATCTCTATGTCAGTAATTACAACAAAAGATACAATTCGAGTGATAAGAACATTTGTGTCTACTATGCAAAGCATGTCTGACCTAATTCCAAAGTTTCAGACTAATACAATCAGTGATCAGAATACCACCTGCTTTCATTCTTTTCACTTAAGCACAGGGCAGGGTGTGTGTCTATTGGCACGGGTGCAATCAATGTAGGAACACGGTAATTCTGAGAACTGCCACAGGTGGAGAAAGTATTTTTAGGCATGCTACCCGCTCTGCCCAAGCAATCTTTGCAGGTGACTCAATTTCAACCTGAGTCTCCTCACTCCACATCTCCTCTTCTTTAACATCACTCCCTCAGATATGTCCTTTACTCTCCAGACCCATAGTCAGGCCTACTTTTCTGGACAGAAGGTGTTTGGCCCAGGGAGTCTAAGCCAATTCTGGTTCCTGCCATGACAGAAAGATGAGCCATCAGAGAGAACAGCTCCACCTCTGCCACCAGATCACACACATCCCATATGCACCACCTTCACCCATATCAACATCTCCTTCATTTTCTTTTCCACAGCCATCAACATCAACATCCTCATCAATGTTTCAATGGGTCATGAACACCAGTGCAATTATTACCACGATCTCAAATGCCGTCACTCTTTCCTATTTGCTAAGAAATGATGTGGTCTGTAGGGAAAAGAAATCAGCTCTAAAGCCAGGCTGAAATACTTTCAAATTATAGCTGTCTTTACCATTATTTGTGAGACTTGGGCAAATTCCTTACTTTGAACATTATTCCTTAGCTGCAAAATGGAAATAATACCTTCCACCCATGGTACTGGCAAAAACTAAATGAGATAAAATACATAAAGAAGCTAACACAGTCGTGGCTCCTAGCTGGTACTCAACAAATGTAAATTTTGCATATTGTGGATCTTCAGTAAATATAGAACAAGTGACTGAATGGATACCAAAGAGAACCAGATATTCTTAAGGAACACTTGATTTAGGCTAGAGGTTTTTAAACATTAAGTTGTTGTTGGCCAGGCACAGTGGCTCACGCCTGTAATCCCAGCAGTTTGGGAGGCCGAGGCGGGCAGATCACGAAGTCAGGAGATCGAGACCATCCCGGCTAACACGGTGAAACCCCGTTTCTACTAAAAATACAAAAAAATTAGTCAGGCATGGTGGTGGGCGCCTGTAGTCCCAGCTACTTGGGAGGCTGAGGCAGGAGAATGGCGTGAATCCGGGAGGCGGAGCTTGCAGTGAGCCAAGACCACGCCACTGCACTCCAGCCTGGGCAACAGAGAAAGACTCCGTCTCAAAAAAAACAAAAAAAACAAAAACAAAAACAAAAAAAAACATTAAGTTGTTGTTAGTAGCCCAAACCTTCCTTTAAGTACAATTGTATGCAGAAGGTCAACACTGAAAAAAAGACAAACAGAGCTGCTTCCATTAAAGCAGGGGTAGTGGTTCTGTGGTCCTCTTAGATCCATTTGTCATTGCACATCAGCTCACCTTTGTCCTGGGACTCCCAAAAGCACAGTTTGAAAACCACAGACCCAAGATAAATTCTTAAAACTAAGTTTTACTGTAACCTTTATCTAAGTTCCACATATTTTTGGTTACTTCTAGGTTCTTTTTGTTAATCTAAATGAAATATTTATCATTATATCTTCTAACTTGTATCGTTGATACACTGGAAAGCTATCTTTATAGATGAGTAAATTATCTTAAAAATTTTTCCAAGTTTTTCAGTCTATTTTACTGGCATTTCCCAAGTACATAATCACACTGGATACAAATGATTTTTTTTTTCTCCTCCTGGTCAGAATTTCAATGTCTTATTTATTTCATATTTTGGTGTATGCACGAGAACTTCCAAAATAATGTTACATAAAAGTTGTCATGGTACGCATCCTACTTAGTTCTTGATTTTAATTAGCTTTCTTCTAGGTTAGTCATTCCTATTTTGTTGCCAGAGTCCCAACCCCCTCAATTTCTGATTGAATGGGTCTGGAGTAGGTCTCAAACATCAGTAATTTTAAAAAGCTCCCCAGGTGATGCTTATGTTCAGAGATTGAGACCCTCCCCTCGGTTCCAGGTAATTTAGCATGGATATGATGTTGGCTGCTTATTTAATATTGATAATCTTTATTATGTTTAGGAAACATTTGGTGTTCTTGGTTGTCTAAGTTTTGTTATTTGCTTTAGAAATAGTGTTACAGGTCTGTTGAGATGATTGCATTATATATTTACATATTTTTTTCTTACTGGATATATTAAAGTGACAAAACATCCTTGTATTCCTCAGTTAAGCTCAATTTGGCCATGGCCATAGTAATTCCTTTATTGCATTATTCAGTTCAGTTTGCATTTATATTTGTAATTTATAATGATGTATTTTTATGTAGTCTCTGTAATAATAACAATAATACTAGCATTATGTTTAAGGATTAAATGTTTGCTATGTTCCGGATACTGTTCTAAGTTCTTTAAATAATTATTTTATTTATTTCTCAGTCTTTCATCTATGGAAACTGAAGCAGAAAAGGATTAAATATCTTGCCCTTGGTCATACTGCTAGAACATAGGAGAGCCAGGATTTGAACTCAGGTAGTTTGGTGCTAGAGGACGTGCTTTAGGGCACTATTTCATGCCACCTGTCCATGCCATCACATGTCACCTGGGTGACGCTGAATAACAAGTTCTTCAGCCTCTCACTTCTTCAGTTTGCTCATCTGTAAAATGAAGATAATAGTTATTCCTGTCTCCTAGGGTTTTAGGAGTAATGTGTAAATTAATATTTGTGAACTCTCAGAACCTTGCCTGGCACTGAGTAAGAACAAAATCAAGTGTTTGTGAAATAGAACCAAACCAGGCAAATCTGGCACCTGGGTCTTACACATGGCCTCTTTCATATCAGGGTTATACTAGTCTTAAAAAAATGACTTGAATAGGTGACCCCAGAATCTTTGTTGGAGGAAATTCCTTGATTAAATAAATTTCTTCCATTTTTTTTGTAAATTAGTTTTCTACTTTTCCATAATAAATTTGTTATGTACATTTTATCAAAAATCATTTATGTTCTAGTTTATTGGCATATATTTTTAAATAATAAAAAGCTTTATACTGTAATCACCTTTTACTTCTTCAGTTTTAGTTCTACTTGAATTTTCTCTGTTTATTTTTTTTAAAAAACCCTAGTTTTGATTTTATTAATTTTGTTTTGGATTTTTCCCCCAACAAACCAGTCCTTGTATTTATATCTTAATGCTATTAGTTTTACAAATAATGTCTGATTTATATATCTATCTTGTCGAGTAGAATGCTTCATTTACTAGTTTTAATTGAATCATTTAAAGTAATAGAAAGCATCAAACACCATAGAATTGCCTATGTACACTTTTGGGCACATGCAACCATTTTTGATCTGCACTGTTACTCATCAACGTGCTTGTGGAGTGTTACTCCAATCACCTCATTCAAAGTCAGTCGTTTTCTCAGTCACAATTATTCCCTCCCCACTTGTTCTCTAGCCTCTCTCTTCTGGGGCCGCTCTTCTGAAACAATTATTTTCTTGACTCAGTTTATCTCCTCCCAACATTTGGTGATTATACGTAATTGCAACGAGGGAGGTGAGGTTAGACAATTTTCATTCATTTTTCTGATCCAGTTGTGGGATACACACTCACAAAGCCACAATTAATAGTTCTTCCCTACACAAACAAGGAGTAATTAGAAAACATAATAAAAGAATTGGCGCCATTTACCATAACAGAAGAAGAGGAAAAGGAAGAGGAAGAGGAGGAGGAAAAAGGGAAGAAGGGAAGGAAGAAAAGGAAAGGATGGGAAGGAAGGAGAGAGGGAGGACAACAGGAATAAACAAGAAATGTGCAATAACTACACAAAGGAGACTTTCAGAAAACTTTCCGAGAGACATTTTAAAACAAAAGCAGCTTGAATACAAATGAAGAGCATTTTTAATTTAAATGGGAAAAGCTAATATGGTAACACTGTCAATGCTTTCTAAATGAATATGTAAATTTGTTGCAACCCCAATAAAATATTAATTGATTTTCAAAACATAAGAGCAGCTGGTTCTAAGACTTTTGTATAAATACCAAAATTCAAGCTTAGCCAGAAAAAAAAATTTCTACAAAGGAAGCATAATGAATTAGGCAAACCCTACTAGATAATGAAACATATTATAAAGCATATGTGATTACGCTAGATGAATGAATTGATAGAGAATCCAGAACTAGACCCAAACACATATGCAAATTCAGTTATGACAAAGGTGACATTTAGAAGCAAATGCATTCTTCAGATGATAGTGATTCTATTCATAAAGTTATAATACTTTTTTCTTACCAATGTTTTAATTATTATATTATACATTTATTATAATTACATTTGTTATAAATATTATGCACGTTGTAATATAAATGAATTTGTAAAGTCCCAGGAAAAAAATAAAGAAATTATTTTATATTCTGGATTGGGGAAAAGCCCTTTTAATATTTACTAAGCACTTGTTGCCAAGCAATTTTTAAGCACTTTACATATATTTATTTATTTAATTCCCACACAATGTTATAATCCCCACTTTACAGATGAGAAACCAAAGCACAAAAAGGCGAAGTGAACTTGGCGCTTGGCCTGATAGTTCAAAAGCGGCAGAGTGGAAGTACAAAGTCACATGGTTTTACTCTAGAGCTTGTGTTCTCATAAACTACCTGGAAAAAAGACAAAGATGAAGGCCAGTGGCAGGTCCTGGTGCAGTTTGCTGGGCTCCATCCCTCCTTGGCTGTGAAGCATGGGCAGTCCCTGACTGTCAGGTCCACAGATGGGTCATTGTTAGCACAGGTGTGAAATGTTGTGGCATTATTATTTATCCTGTGAATGAATAGCAAGGTGGCCCTGCTGGCAGAAGAAGAAATTGTGTACTACCTGGAAGTGAGAACCAGGTGATATGATGTGTGAAAGGCAGTTTTGCAAACTGATTAAGTAATTATGCTAGACCTGGCAAGACCTTACTCTAGAAATACAAAATATCATCGCAAACAACTCATGTGTTTTCCACAAAGAAGAGAAATCTGAAGAGGGAAGCTCACCAAACATCTGCATTCCTGATGGCCAGGGTGTACTGGCATACTTGTTTAAAATGTACCTATTGTGCAGATCAGTAAGCTACAACTTCTGCAGGATTTATGTGTCAGCTCATTTTTGCCAACCCTCCAACCAAGCTTTCTGAAGAATTACTTCAACTCGTTCTTCACTGCCTATTCCAAATTAAATTCCAAATGGAAAAATATTTTGATATAAACCAATCTATAAACTTCTAGAGAAAAACATGGGGGAATTATTTTATAATCCAGGATGAGAAAGACCTTTCTCATTAAGCTCAGATGTTATAATGAAAAAGAAGGATCAGTTTTACTATGTTAAAATTTATGTATGGAAAAAATAAAGTCAAAAGACAAATAAAAACATGGGAAAATATTTGCCCCACCCATAGCATGCAAAAGGCTAATTTTCGTTATACATTCAAGAGGTCTTTTTTAAAAAACTCATGAACAGAGGACACAAACAGAAAATTCACCAGAAAAGAAATATAAATGGCATAAAAAATATAAAAAGATGTTCAACCTCAAAATTTTAGATGGTAATTTAAAATAAAATGAAACATCACTATTCGATTACTGGACAAAAACCTTTGCTAATGCACAGTATTGATGAAAGCAGAGAAAGAGACACTTCCAGACAGTGAATAGACTAATTGGTACATCTTCTTTGGAGGACAATTAAAAATTATTCTAGTAATAATAATAGTAATAGCTTACTTTTTTTGAGTATCAGCTATGTCAGATAGACATTCTATGTGTTTCAGATATTCTAACTCATTTACTCCTCATAACAACCAAATGAGGTAGTTTCTATCATTATCACTATGAGAGCACTGAGGCACAAAATGATTAAGAAACTTGTTCAAGATCACATATCCAGTAAATGGAGAAGCTGAGATTCAAACCCAGAAAGTCTGGAAAATTCAACTTAAAACTCCACACCACCACACACACATGCACACATGCTAACTATGGGTTGTAATGGATGTGTTAATTAATTTGACTGTAGTAATCATAGTAATCAGTATCCAGTGTACATATATGTGTATCACATCAGCGTGTCATACACCTTGAATATATATACTTTTTATTTGTCAACTAGATATTTTTAAATTAAAAATAAATAAACCAAGCTCGACAATATCCATAAAAATTCAAAAATTTTATATCCATTATATTCATTAGGATTAGATTTAGGTACTTGACATAGAAAAGAAAAGAACTGTTGCTTAAATGAGGTAAAAGTTAATTTCTCTCCCAAATAAAATCTGGAGGTATATAGCTTAGAACTGGCAGGGCAGCTCTTACCCCATGAAGTCCTCAGGAGCCTGGCTCCTTCCAGCTCCCCACTCACCATCAAAAGGGTGTGGCCCTAGGCAGCATGTGAATTACAAGAAGGAATAAAGAATAGAGGACAGAAGGCACTTGTCATCTGTCTCCCAGAGAAGTTTTTCAGAAGCTGTCACGCGACACTTCCCCTTCCACTGCTCTGGCTGCAAAGGAGGCTGGGAAATGTAGTCTTAATTCTGGGCAGCCATTTGCACAGCTTTGCATTGTATTACCAGGGAAGAAGAGGGGAGGGGAGATTGAGGGACATGTGGCCAGCTCTGTCCTTCCTGCTGACACCACAATTCAACTTCTAGGAAAATTTCTACCAGATTGATGACACATTTGTATAACAACATATTACACTGATTATTCCCCATTTATCCTTCCTCTCCCTGACTACCCTGTACCCTGCAGACTGACCTTCATGGACTGCATTACCTGGGCTTCCCTGACCTCTGACTTCCACTTCTATTCGCCAGCTGGGAAGAACCAACAGAAAACCAGAGAGCAAGAGGAGACGGCAGTCAGGGTATTTATTCCTCTTGCTCCTACTCTGATGGCTACAGTTTAGGTACTGGCTGCATTCCTCACCATGTGGCTGTAGCTCTGTTTGGTTGGCCTCTCTCCCACAGAGCCATGGTCTCACTGGCTTCTAGTAACACTGCTCCCTCCCCTTGTCCCTTCATGCCTGGGGTGGTGAAGGCTTATCACTGTTGGGAGTTCCTGAGTGTTTAGCCATTTATTGCTGGTTCCCTTCATCCTGCCAGCACCTGTGTAAATAGTACCTACATGACTAAACTCTTCAGGTAAGCTTGGGATGTGCCATCTGCTTCTGCTGTACCCTGATTCATACACATATGTGCAAGGACTTTCATTATAGCAGTGCTTGAAATAGTAATAGCCAAAACAAATTAAATATTTATCAATAGGGAACTGATTAAATATCATGCAGTTATAGTAGGAATATAATGTAGCAGTTTAACAAATAATGTCGCACTATCATGTACACTTAAAAATTTGCTAAGAAGGTAGACCTCAAGTTATGTGTTCCTATTGCACTAAAATAATAATAATGTCTTTATGAGCTAAAATAGAAAGCTCTTGATGATAGGATGCTACCAACTATACTTTAAAATATAGATATAGACATACAGTTAGATTTGGATTTAGATAGATTCGCATGGTGTTATAAATGTATATATAATATGCATTTCTATACGTAAATGTTTTAAGGAAAAGACTAGAAACTGAGACTAGTGGTCACCTCTGGGAAAGAATAATGGAGAATAGGGTAGGACAGAGCTTTACTTTCATTGAATATCCTTTTATTCTATATGAATTTTTACTACGTATATATTACCTTAAAAAACTATTTAGAGAAAAAAATATTATTTTCCTTAGAATACATATAATGGGGAAGCATATGAATAAGATAGTAGCATTCCTTTGAGATTCCATTACTATAAATGGGATTCCAATTTTCTCTCCCCACCACCGTCTGCCCTCCCATGCCCCCTCCTCCCAAACGGGGGCACACCAAGGGCCCTCCCTTCTAATGAAGGGCAGTACCTTGTCCCCTGGATCTACTGTGGTCCTTACTGTGCTCTCCCTATGCATTGGTGTCAATTAATGGAGTACATGTTCTGTTCCAAAGCTGTAGGAAGTGCTGGAAATCAGGAAAATGAATGATCCCTGTCCTCAGAGAGATTATTTCCTATGAAGGGACATAAAAGTGTAAAAGGTGTCAATAGGAGTGAATATAGAAGTTCGAGATATGGCACAGAGAGGGTGTGGTCGATTGTAATCAGGGACTAAAACAAAGAACTGGAAGGATTTCCTGAGAGGTGAGAGAGGAATGTGGTGGCAATGGTAATAAAAGGAGAATGGGGTGCCCTCTGAAGACAAGCAAAATAGAAGGGCATTTGAAGCAGCAGAAACCATGTAACTTAAAGCAGGACACTTCAGATAATTTAAGACTACTGATGGGAGAGTAAAACGGGGAGCCAATCAGTTGAAGGTCATTGTTGTCATCATCATCCTGGAGAGAATCAAAAGGGAAGGGTAGAAGAATGGGTTAAGATTGTCTATTACAGTCATTATTCAGGAAAGAAAAATAAAGACTAGCTAAATGTTGGATTACTACTTTAGACTGCATTCAAATGTGACCATATTAAGATGTTGCATCAAAATGTTCTTGTGCCTTTTGAGGAGAAGACACATAGGCATGAAATAATAAGGCACACTGGGGAAATTGCTGATAGTTCTTGAGGCATGACAAATAGCCGGGGAATAATAAGGCTGCAGAGGTAGGAGCAGTGGCTGTATGACAAAAGTCGTTTCTATCATCCTGGAACAGCCAGTATTTGGCTGGGCAGTGATGTAATCAGTTGTGCATGTTAGAAAGGTCACTAGGAGTATGGAGGTGAGGCCAATTAGGAGACCGTGGCACTAATCCTGAGTAAAGGTGGAGAAAGGACAGGCACACAAGAAATATTGATGTGGGTAGTATCAGCAGAAGTTAGTTATTAGTTGAAGGAAGAGGTGAGGAAACAGGAGGAATTGAAGAAATCTGTATTTCTAGTGACCAAATTGGTAGGGGTGCCATATACTTGGATAAAGAATAAAGGATGAAAAAGCCTGGGGGGAGTGTGTGGAGCTTGAGGTTACTTGTGACTTCCAACTTTATGATTTCACTTATAATCTCTTCCTATACTCAATCTCTCTTTTCTCTGCTCTTCAATCCTCAACTCTCCCATCTCCTTCTTACCACAATTTTGCCTAATTAATGCCTACTCCCTCTTTAAGAATTAGTTCAAGCAACCTTCCATCCAGAAAGTCCCTCATAACGCTTTATCTTCTTCCAATGAAGGCTGTTAGGTGGCTTTTCCTTCCCACGATCTTGTAATGTTCTGTGTTTATTTCTATCATTACACCTTAATGCACATCAAATTATTTTTCCTTTACAGATCAGTTTCCCCTACATGATGTTAAGCTCCTTATGGGTAGGATCTACATCTTCCTCTCTAGTTCCCCCAGCATATAGCACAGTGTTTATTAGGATGTGATAGGCACTCAGTGATTGTTGAATGAATGAATACGTTTTGAGTGGGAGAAGAAACATTTATTTTTCTTAGCCTTGAGTGGGAGCATTGGAGGGTGTCGAAAGTTGTCATTGTTAGGGGCTAAGTGAGAGTTGGAAGGTGTCTGCAGTCTAAGTCTTATCTAGGAAGTACCAGTCATTCCCCAAGAGAAAGGTGGGTTGAGCAGAGTGATGGGCATTTGGAATTGCTGCTGTGGGGAGTGAAAAGGGGAGGAGCCCAAAAGGTCTAGTTGACATTGGCAATAATAAAATTATAATGGCAGTGACCCCAGTGACTGTATGATTCCCTCTAGCAGTTCAGTGGGCTGAGTGTGAATGAGGAGGGGGTTGACGATGGAACTCGTCAAGGTCCACAAGGCAGATTCAGCAGAGGACAAAGCAGCTCTGACACAGGGTGACATATGGGTACAGATTGGATTAGGAAGAGAGGTGGAGCCACAAGAGACAAGACTGAGAGAAATGAGAGGGAGGAAATGAAAGACTATAAGTCTACATCATGCTGAAGAAGAAAAATTGTGGGGTAAGGTAGTGGTCAGGGTGGCTCCTTTGAGAGACGAGGGTGTTTACTTTGAGATTCCTGAGTTGGACCTCTTTTTTGGGGTGATGTCTGAGCCCAGATTGTAGTGCAGCCATGGAAGTAGGTTGCTAAAGGGACCTGGAAGTTAAGGTTGTAGGAATCAGAAAAGTTAGAGAACTTTAAAGCTGCATATTGAACCTATTGTATCAGGATTCTGAAGTTACCCACAACAAAGGCAGGAACGGAGTGAGAAGAAGAGTAGGAATGGAGTTCCAGAGAGTCCAGTGAACAATGAGTGTACCCAGGGATTGAGTAGACGCAGTGAGGCAGATGGAGGCAGGAATCTCAAGGGAAAATGGAAAGGCATTTTGCATGAGAATTGGAAGATAATGGTCTGGGGTGGTGATGGGGAGTCTGTAGAATACCAACTGGCCTCTCCCTAACTCTGAAGTTTTCTTCATACTGGAGCACCCTCTCCAACCAGGCAGTCTTTATCTTTGCTCTTTCTTCTGATGCCTTGATTTGGCTTTCCAGGATGACTCTTGATTTGAGTCCCTAGCCTTGTGCTCTTATTTTTTGTGTTTCTGTGGGTATTACTCCACTCTCAGAATGCTATGATGCCTTTTCTCATTACAACAAATCTGTCCTGTTTTTTATTTCCTTAATGAAAACCTAACAATTACATCTGCTGTGAATAAACTAGATTTCCCACTAGATAATTGCCTTGGTCCATTTTTCTTGCTATAAAGGAATACCTGAGACTGGGTAATTTATAAAGAAAAGAGGCTTATTTGGCTCATGTATCTGCAGGCTTACAAGAAGCATGGCCAATATCTGCATCTGGCAAGGGCCTCAGACTGCTTCCACTCATGGCGGAAGGTAAAAAAAAGGTGACAGCAGGACTGTGCGCAGAGATCGCATGGCAAGAGAGCAGAAGCAAGAGAAAGAGGGTAGAAAGGTGCCAGGCTCTTTACAACAACCAGTTCTTATGGGAACTAAGAACAGGAACGAACTCACTCCTGCACCTAGCCATTCTTGAGAGATCCACCCCCATGATCCAAACACCTCCCACCAGGCCCCATCTTCAACACTGGGGATCAAATTTCAATGTGAGACTTGGCAGGGCCAAACAACCAAGCCAAATATTCACGCCGTAGCAATGATAATAAACTAACATGCTACTATGCTCAAGAAATATATTTGCATTTGAAAGATCCTCCCAGATAAATGATGGCATAATCCAATCTACCCTACAAAGTCAATAAATAAGGAAGCCTTATTGGTGTACCTCAAAGCACATAGTCATGTATTTTCTAGAGCTGCTTCTTTTATGAGTTTAAATCCCTCATGAGCAGTTATTTCAAAGGTAAATTGTTTTAAGTTAAGAGTGAAAGATAAACAGAAATACAGATAATTTTGAATTGTTGGGAAGAAAGAGTAGAATAAGTGTCCTAAACCGACAGTCATTCATGCAAGAGAGCCT